TTTTAGTTATCCACAGGGGGTCTTGGAACCAATTCCCCATGGATACTGAGAGACAATTGTACTTGTTAGTATATTTCATAATTTTTTGTTGAAAACTAGACATTTTAAATAATATAATGTGGCAACACTGGAAATCCGATTCCTGCCTACCCCTCAGAGTTTGTTGTGGTGACTGTTTGTCATCATTGTTTCTCTTTGTTGTTTAATGACTTCCCAAAACCAATTCTGTGAATTCTGAATTCTTTACCATATGTGGCTATGGAAGTTCCTGCCTAGAGGTCAGCTAATGATTGAACAGAGATTTCCTTACACACCTGGAACCAGTAAGTCTCCCCATCTTTGCTGAGGGGCTATGTGTGTTTTGGAGGATACCTCCAACACTCAACCAGGTTGTTAACACCTCTGCCTTAGTCTTCACTTCCCGCTTGTGCAGAGGCTTAAGGTCAGCCAGACATGAGAGCTCAGGGCCTTCTCATGTCTTTCTTGAACATGTATACCACCCGATGCATGCACATGTCCTTCTAGATTCCAAGAAATATGTCAGAGCTTTTCAAAGCTCCTACAAACATCTCATTCTCCAGCTTTTCCTTTTAAGCTTTTTGGTTAGTCTATTGTTTGCCCCAAATGTTATCTATACATTCACTCAGGCAGTCCATGAAGTTAAAATACTTGCCTGCAATTGTTTTTGAAAAATGTCTCTTTCCCGTACACACAGAGAGGGCTTTTTCCACTGGGCAAGCTCTAAATCAGGTCACATATAGACAACCTTGTAAGTGGAGTCTTCCAGGGAACAACCAGACAGATCAAATAATGACAATTCTTTGGCATTGAGGCTTTGAAAAAGCTCCACCTCTATTCTTCCTTCTAGGTGCCTCAGAGGCCGCAATGGGAAAGCAGGCTGTTACTTTTCAAGGCTATTGCAGATCTGGAGAGTGGGGGATGGGATTAAGGCAAATTAAAATGTCTCACTCTTTTTACTAAGAGTCATCTTCTTGACTAAATGCTCCATATGCTTCTGCAAGCCTTTGGTTAAATATCAGATCTCTGAGAAGGCTGATCCTGAAAATTTTTGTCACTGTTTTCAGAGGCACTTACTCTACTATTTTTATTGCCATCCCACTCCTCACTTTGACTTCTGTATTACAAAGGCAGTAGATACATTGTATAAAACATCCATGCAACTGCTCCATCACCACATTAGAGAATCACTTCCCACTGCAGAAGAACGAGATGGTTTGAGAAGGCTATAAAGCAACACAGATATCACGTCTCTGCCACTAAGGGGTTTACAACCTCGTTTCAAGGACAAGATACACATCAAAATAGATAAAAGATAGTATTAGTGCCTACCACCCTATGGAGCACCTTTAATAGATAAAAACGCTAAGCCCTAATTGAGTTATCACTGTAAGTACTACAGAATTTCAGAGAAGGGATCCACAACATTGGAAAAAGCATCACAAAAATAGGAATCTCAGTTTGTATCTTGACAGAAGCATAGGATGGTGATGAGAAGAGGGAAGAACATGCCAAAAAGGAAGGATTGTTCAAAGTTTCAGAGGTCTTTAAATATCCATAATGCAAGGCTTTTTATATTCTGGATACAAATCCTTTGTCAGATATATAGTTTCCTACATATATATACAGAACTCATACATGAAGCAATGATCATTTGTTTGGAGAGTAGGATTCACTGATGTGTCTGATGGGAGATAAACTTATCAATAGAGGGGCTTGTTAGTGAAGGGCCTTGAATGCTAACGTAAGGAGTTATAACTTAATTCAACAGTCCAGAAGGTGGCAAACTATGGCCATGTCCTCAGGCCAAATCTGGCTGGCCACACCAATTTTTGTAAGTAAAGTTTTATTGGAACAGAACCATACCCATTCATTCACTATTGTGTAGGCTACTTTAGTGCTACCGTAAGTTGCAACAGAAACCATATGGCCTACAAAGCCAAACATTTATTTTCTGACCCTGACATTGGTCATGACCCTGGTCCTGATCTTCTGCCTTACATACATTCAGGCAAATGTCCCTATCCCCAAATAAAAAAAGAGAAATTAAGGGTATTGAAAATACTTAAGGAACTACTTTTAAGAAAACTAGATGTAAGGGTGAGCAGCACTAAACTGGGGGAAATTTTGCAGGATTAGTGACTGGTTGAAAGAAAAGAGTAAAAGGTTAAAGATGACTTCAAGGTTTTGAACTTGTATGACTGGTTAAAAACAGTAGTCATGACTGAAACTGCAATATATGGAGTAAAGTTACATGGAAATACAATGAATATGCCTTTAGACATGTTAAGTTTCACGTGTTAGTGAAACTCTCCATTGATATATTTAAAAATAAATATAAAATAAATATAAATTTAAAAATAGTTCGAGATATAATACTTCAACTTGGGAAAGGTGGCAAGGTTGAAAGTGAGGATTTAAAGGTCTTCTGCCTCTTAGAAGCCACAAACAATGGAAAAGATCTCTTAGAATAAACAGAGAAAGCATTAGGACATACATATATCAAGTAGAAGGCAAGAAGCAGAGTCAATAGAGACAAAGTAAGAACAGCCTCAGAGAAAAAGGGTAGCTTAGTAAGAGTCATTTAAAGCTTAGAAAGTTGTTTTAAGAATGAAGGTACAAGGATGAAGAAAATCTATAAAGGAAAGAGTGAATGGATAAAAGGTCAATTGGAATAGCAAAGTATCAAAAAGGAGAATATTAAGACAGAGGTAACTTTTCAGGTGAATTTCTACAATGCAACGTTTTATACTTTCATATTAGAAGTACAACAGAGAAGATGACTTCACATTTATTTATGAAGATATTCAGCCTTTCCATTAACTTTGACTTCTTATAACTTTCACTATGAGATAACTCATGTATTAGAGAGCTAAAGGGTGATCATGATCTCTATGAAGAACTTCCTAAAAGGGAGATTATAGAAATGACTGGAAAAAAGAAAGAAACACAGTTATAGAAACCCTGATGAAAAGACTTATAAAGAAAAAAGAAAAAGGTGCTACACCAGAACATAAAAACCAATAGAGGCCAGCCACAGTGGCTCACACCTGTAATCCTACCACTTTGGGAGGTTGAGGCAGTAGGATTGCTTGAGCTCAGGAGTTCAAGACGAGCCTGAGCAAAAGCAAAAGCCCATCTTTACAAAAATTAGAAAAAATAGCTGGGTGTGGTGGCATACACCTGTAGCCCCAGGTACTCGGGAAGCTGAGGCAGGAGAATCACTTGAGCACAGGAGTTTGGGGTTGCTGTGAGCTATGACAACACCACTGTACTCAAGCAAGAGTATGAGACCCTGTCTCAAAAAAAACACAAAACAATAGAGAATATGGGAAGATAAATAGGCACAGTGGTCATTTCTCTAAAAATCTTTAGAGAAATACACTTTATTACATGCCTTACCCCCTTAACTAAATTTGTAATCTTATTGTATTATAATTGTTTGTATATATAAAACCTAACCAAGTTCCTTGAGTGAAAGATTTTCTTATGATAACTTTCTTATAATAACTTATATTTTTGTTGCCTAATATCCACATAGTTGATAAATAATCACTGAATTACTATGTTCACAAATATTCTTTGTTGCAAAAGGCTGGGAAAACTTAATCTGATTTGAAAAATTAACATTTTTCATTTCCTAATAGGAAAATACCAAACATAATAAAAAAATTCAACCTACTGGCATATAAATTCATACAGAATCAGTAAAGGAAGATTACAGATAATGAATATAGGCATTTAAATAAAACATAGAATACAAAGAAACAAACAAGATTCTTAATGGTGACACCTGCTGGGATAAAGTAACAAAAAAAATCTAAGTAAGAGCTAAAGTAGTGAACATGTGTAATGAAAATGAAAGTTTCTTTCTGTAAAATAGCAGAAAAAATTATTTAAGTAAAACCATTTGAAGATCAAAGAAAATAAAAGTGAGCAGGGTGTTTCAAATTTTCTTTAAGGATCCTTTTCAAAAAAGTTCACTTAGCAGATACAAAAGGAAAAAGTATTAGAATGGAGATTCTATAGGAAATAATTGAGAGTCTTCAAGAACTTTAAAAGTTCTGAGGCACTATATAACATCCAATTATACTTTAAAACTGATTATGTTATTCATAAACTATAATAGCCATGATATGGAAAATGTGTTGAGCTGCAAATAAAAATAGAGAAATAAAGGATAAAATTAGAAGATAGTAAATAAAATAGTTCACTGCCTGACATGAAATTCTCTGAGTTTAAGTTGGTTACTACACTATGAACTCCCAAAAAACAGTATAAAAGGAAGTGGAGAGGAGAAATAGAGGTGTAATTCTCCATATTAGCCACTAGGTGGTGGCATTGGCCCAGGACCGTTCGGTTGTGGGTGCTGGAAAAAACAGGTGCTTAGAGTAAGCTACCTTGTTTCCCCGAAAATAAGACCTACCTATAAAATAAGCTCTAGCAGGATTTCTAAGCATTTGCGCAATATAAGCCCTACCTCGAAAATAAGACCTAGTGATGGGCGTGGCTACACAGCATATCTGCACAACCCATGCATTTCGTCTCAGAGCCCCCTATGAGAGCTCTATTGATCAACATGAAAGATTGGGGCCAATGGTTCTAAAGGAAACAGAGTCGCAAGAAATTCAGGATGGAATTCAGGGTTTGGAGAGTTATGATGATGTTCAAGAAGAAGATGACTTAACTATATTTGAATAAATGTAGATTGTTGTACCATACTTAAAAAAAATAACACATCCCCTGAAAATAAGCCCTAGGGTATCTTCTTAAAGAAAAATATAAAACCCTGTCTTATTTTCGGGGAAACACGGTACTGCTTGACCATCTGTAGGCACAGGACTGTCAAAGGATGGCATTCTATTTGACTATGCTAATAAAAATTTTGAAAGCATTTTGAATCATTAGAAAAATTCATCGACAAATTATCAAGGGTTTACTATAAAATAATCACAAAAATACAACTGTACTTGTCCACTCACCTTTACTACATTGTCCCCTGATTGCCCATTATTTCGTAAACAATCTAGACAGATAGCAATTTGTGGGTCACTTCTGTGATAGTCTTTATCATCTTGATTTTCATCACCTTCTTCATCTACTTTAGGTTTGTCAACTTTTGAAGTATCATCTGTATAATTTAAACAAAACTAAGTTAGCTTAACTCAAACCTGATTTTAAGTTAAGCAACAACAATCAAAACAAAAATCAAGTTTAAACAACATTTCCTAACAGTTTTTGAAGAAGAATGACTGAAAATTTTACTATCTTTAAAATGTTCCAAGCAGTTCAACAATGGAAATATTTTTTAAAAACCAACAGAGATTTATTAACATAGCCTAAGATTTCTAGGCTCATTGGGACATTCAAATGAAAGATTCAGGACTAGCTATATATTTGATCACAAAAATAATTATAATTAGTGATCAGACTACATTAGAAAGTAGAAAGGATATATAAAAATACTTCCAAATTCTCTATATATTCAAATGAAAAAACCAAGTACTTATTTTTCAAATTATAAAATATTCTCTTTAAGTTCTCAAAATTTTAAATTATTAGATATTCATAAAATCAGCTAGTGAAAAAATGAGAATTAGCTTTTTAACATGTAGTGATCGATGTAACATGTTAAAACTCCATTAAAGAAATCTGAATGGCATACTTTACATTACATATAAATATATTTAACCTGTTATATATCTACAGCCTATAAATAATGCAACTATATTTACTGACTCATTCATTTATTGAGTAGCTTTAACTATATGTTAGATATGCATTGTGACAGGCCTGAAAGGAATAATACTGAAACTAGAGTGCTATTATCCTCACCCTCATAGCAGTGAGGGTACATACAGGACAAAATATGGGCAAGTTAAACAAACAAATATAGGATGCGAAAGGTGAAATGGAGTATGTGGGCATATATAAAAAAGGCAATAAAGCCAAATTTTGGGGGTGAAGCAGAGATTAGGGGAAGATTTCAAGATGAAATATCACTAAGCTAAAATTTTTAAAAATTAGCCAGTCAAGCATTACATTATAGAAAAGACCCCTGCAAATGATAGGTCAGCTCCTCTTCCATGACTATAGTAAAAACTTTACAGATGTACCATATAGGGAAAGTGAGCTCTCTCTCTTCTCCATATTTATATAGGACCCACAGAAACAGGAGTGGCCTTCTGTGAACCAAACTCCCAGCTCTAAGAAAACAGCTAAATTCTCCTCCCAAACTAAACAATGAATATCATAAATACTTTAAAAAGGGAGAAACCATGGGGAAAGGGAGAAGAAATTCACAAAGTAAGCTACAGCCTTTCATATCTATGATACATAAAGTCATAGAGTAAGCCTACCATATATAACTTTTGATGACAATCCTCTGGACTCCTGTCCTCTTAAACAGGCAGTCAAGAACTAGAACGTTTACTTAACCTTATATATCTACGTTTTTACTACATAGTACTACTGTCTAATTGCAAAGTACACTTGGGTAAAACAAGTTTTTAGTTTAGTCAGTGGTTTTTTTTTTTTTTTTGGTCAGGCTTAGCTTCTTTGCCCATTTTGTTGTTATAGATAAAAAATAGTTCTACCTATGCTACCAGTCATCAAAACTATTTTCAAATGTCCCCTGCTCTAGGAAAACACCCTTGTACAGTTAAGTGGAACTAATAAAACCATGATCTCCATTTTACAGATGAAAAAAGAAAGATGGTATTTTCTTATCGACCTTAATGTGATGTATAATTGATAATTCTGAGATCTTATGGGAAAAACAAGATTGGGAGACTGAGCTCACAAGTGAGCCTGTAAAATACACACATCCTTGAAAATTTTCAATGATATTTAGGACACCTTGAATTAAATCTCATATTAAAAAAAATGGGAAAGATACTATTTCCCTATAATTTCAGTTATCCTTTTGTATGGATAATATACACACTAAAAGCCTTTTCTCAGTAAGGTTTACCAGTCTGCTGAAATTATTATTATAAATTACTAATTGCTGAGTCTCTTGGGACCCAGAGGAGAAATTTGTACACTCGGCATAGGTGATGGAAAAAATTCCCATAGGCACCCAGAAATATTTTCTAAATCTCCAGGACACATAAAATCTCCAGGATACATTTGTATCATCTGAGCTCTACTTATGAAAACGTCATTCAGAGCATAGTAAAATCCCCTAATACTTATGGCTATCAGCCACATCTTAGTTCTTCCTCCTATTAAAATAAATATACAAAAGTAAATAAAACAAAAACTCCCTCAGTGTTTAGTTGCACACTATGGCTATTTCTTAGTTCAGCTTCCCTTAGCTCTCCAGAAATTACTACTATAATCATGTGGTCAATTTCCTTTTTCCCTTTTCTCTTCCCAAAGATGGTTTTTCCTCTATTTCCAATTACCTTCAACCAGAGTGACTCCAGATTACATGCATTTATATAAAATCTTTTTTTTTTTTTTGAGACAGAGTCTCACTTTGTTGTCCAGGCTACAGTGAGTGCCGTGGCGTCAGCCTAGCTCACAGCAACCTCAAACTCCTGGGCTCGAGTGATCCTTCTGCCTCAGCCTCCCGAGTAGCTGGGACTACAGGCATGTGCCACTATGCCCGGCTAATTTTTTATATATATATATATCAGTTGGCCAATTAATTTCTTTCTGTTTTTATAGTAGAGACGGGGTCTCGCTCTTGCTCAGGCTGGTTTTGAACTCCTGACCTTGAGCAATCCGCCCGCCTCGGCCTCCCAAGAGCTAGGATTACAGGCGTGAGCCACAGCGCCCGGCCTATATAAAATCTTATAAAGAGGAAAAGGTTCATAAGGTAAATAAAGGAGTACATGAATTTTGTGCAGAAAAAATTAAGCTTGAAGAGAGAGATTAGTTCACCAATGCTACAAAAAACTGACCAACTTGAGAGATGCTGTCATACAGATGAAAGAAAAAGTTACCTTGTCCATTTTCTTGAGGCTTATTTTTCTTCCAAAATTCAGATTCACGCTCAAGTTCTTCTAATTTAAAAGAAAAAAATATATAAAAACCAAAGGAACAATCATGAAATCTTTTAATAGAAATGTTGATTTTATAAAACACAAAAGTCTGCAAGAACCTAAAGAGCAACTTACGTTCTCGTAGTCCAGGGACCAGCTTAAATATAATTTCTTCTAGTGTATTATCCAACCTTCAAAATGGGGGGGGGGGAGATAAAGAATACACTAACAATGAAGACATCAAAATCCAATATGTAAATAGTTTGAGATCTATACTTTACATGTATTGCAAACTATGGAACATTTAGAGTTTTAACACAACTCCTACACTAAACTCCTCTGCCCATGGAGCACACGTACTAGGTCTAGCCTTCCTCAGTGATAAACTCGCTACAAAAATGGTCCCAGTCCCCAGCTCTCACTATACCTACACCCTCTGGACATCAATTTGAAATCCTCTTCTTGACTAAGGGATGGAGTCTATCTCTCCGCCCAGAGAATATGGGCTGGCTTTAAAAACTACTTAGGCCAACACAAAGTGGCACAAGTGACACCATGCTTAGTTCTAAGCTTAAGCCTCAAGAGGCTCTATGTGCCCATGCGCACATGTGTGTACTCTGTCTCTCTCCCTCTCTCTCTCTCTCTCAGAATCCTGCCACCACAAGAACAAGTCTGGGGGATGACATGCCATGTAGAGGAGAGCCAAGCTGCCACCTTGGACTAGTCCACAGACAGCCTGACCTCCAACACCGGCCGAAACCCAGCCAAGACCAGAGTAGACCACCCAATGCACAGTAACTGCAGTTGCACAAGTGAGCCCAGCCAAGATCAGAGGAGCCATCTAGCTAACACATGGAACCATGAGGAATAAGAAATAATCATTGTTTCAAGCATTAATGTATGAGTAGTCTTTTATGCAGCAATAGCTGGTAACACATTCTCTCTCAAAGTCTCTACCACAACTCTGGCTCTTTCCTATAAAGGAAATGATCTCCATTTTTCTCCTCTAACCAATTTACACCATTTTATTGTTCTATCTTCCGAGATGAAAAAATGGAAACATTTATCTTGACATTTCTCTTACTTTCTTTTCCTGCTATATCACTCCTTTTCATGGCTTTCATTGCTTCAATCCCTTCTCCTGCCCCTACAATACCCTCTTCTCGCTTCAGCTCCCTCATCCTGCTCAAAAGCAGCATTACTCTTCTCTGACTTTACAACATGCAGAGGTTTCTCACATCTAAAACACAACAAAAACCTTTGCTGGAAAAAAATCCCTTATGTTATTTCTGTCACGTACTCTGTTTTGCTTCTTTTGCTCAATCAGACTCTCAAAAATCTTCCATAACTTCCATACTGAATACGTTTAAGGTTTTTTTAGAATTAAAATTGTAAACTAAAAAATTATTTTTTAAATGTATTTTTCTCTTATATTGCTCTGCAGCAGTTTGACAGTGTTACCTAACACTGCCTCCCTGAAAATTTCCTTTCCCAGTTTTCTTTTCTTTTTCCTGTCTGTTCTTTCTTTGTTACTGTTTTTCTTTTTCCAACTACTTGTAAATCTGAATATTCTCCATTGCTCTGTACTCTGCACTCTTTTACCTCTTCTACGGGCTGTCTTCCCTGGATCTCATCTCAAAACTAACATATAGACAGATAACTTCGTCTGCCTATCTATCCGTCTACCTATGTGTCTACCTATCTAACTGCCTGTGTTTCACATTTCTGCTGAGCTCAAGTTCCATATTTCAAACAGATGCTGAACATCTCCAAATACCTCCTTTTATTCATCTATGTCAAGATTATCTCATCTGTCCTCCTCCAATAAAATACTGAATATCCCTTTCATTGTCACCTTTTTAAAATTAAATTTTTAAATGACACCGTAATTCTCCCAAATAGACTAAAAATAAAAGACATATTCTTGACTTCTTTTTCTCCCTGATTCACAGGTTTACTCACCAAGCCACACTTAGAGCTCCTTCTCAATGCTCCTCCCACCTATACCTCCCCACCCCACCTCCATTCTTCCATTCACTCAATCACCACCCTACCAAGAGCACAGCACAGACATGCTCACAATGCATCTTCCTAAAGTACTAATGTGATTATTTCTCTGCTCAAGAACTAATTTCTCCTCACTAGCTGGCATAAAGTGTTTATATAACTTCAGACCAATCTACAAACCGTACTGGTACTATCCCTTCTTGTATTCTCTCTTCTCTAGCCAACTGGCTTATTCAATTATCCCAAGAATTCCTGTCTTTACCAATCTCTCTTTCTCCCTTACATTTTTCACCCTGGCTCAAATATTCTCTTCCTATTCTCTAACCAAACCAATGTTACCTTATTCTTCAAGACTTTACTCAAATATTAACATATTCACAAAGTTTTCCTAGACTATTTAACAGTAGTACCTAAGACATAGTACTTTTCTTCTTAATTTAACACCTTTTAATCAAAAGTATCACATGTAAATAACTTAAAACTAAAACTTTCCTATAAAACTACATTAAAATACAACACTCTCATACATCATCCTCCTTGTTCCTGATTCTACAACCCCAGAGGCAATCACTTTCAAATCTAATCTTTGCTTCTAGTATTTAATGTTTTTATTGTTTATTTATTTGAGACAGAGTCTCACTCTCTTTCCCAGGCTAGAATGCCATGGCTCAGCCTAGCTCACAGCCAACCTCAAACTTTCCTACCTCAGTCTCCCAGGTAGCTGGGACTACAGGCACGTGCCACCATGCCTGGCTAATTTTTTCTATTTTTAGTAGAGATGGGGTCTCACTCTTGCTCAGGTTGGTCTCAAACTCCTGAGTTCAAGCAATCCTCCCACCTTGGCCTTCCAGAATGCTAGGATTACAGGTGTGAGCCACCGTGCCTGGTCTAATATTTTTATTTTTTTTAAAAGCCAGCTTTTTCTGCTATCTAGATTTTCCTGATTTCCTTTTATGGAAGATATAATTCTCTTAATCATCCCGCCAACTCCTTTTCTCCCAACATAAACTTTTCCCTAATCCCATTTTCCCAAAATAGTTTTATTATCAATATATTTACCCAACATAGTTTTATTTTTGTTTCATAGCCAGTGTTTACATGGTTATGATTATGTAAGTCTTCACAATGTACTCTGATTACAGATATCCCTCATTTAATTTTTTTCTTACCCTGGAGTTAGTAACTGCTTTTCATTTCCCTATTCCCAAACTCAAAAAAAATATCTTTTCACTATTTACAAACAAATCAGGAATCAACTGGTTTCACTTTTGTTTCCTCTAAGACATTCTTGACCACTTTGATGTCCTCTGTCCTCCCAATCCAGTTTAGGACTAATCTGATCTGGAGTCAGTCCTTAAAATCACTCCTTTATATGTACCTTTGGTGCCCTAGTCTGACTCTCTCCTTTGCTCAAAATTATTTGGTACAAGGAAAACTCTGGTTAAATCCAACTTTCCATCAACTCCACACTTGCACCCATATTGAGATAAAAACATAACCTAATCCATTCAAATTTGTAACTACAACCCAAATGTGCCTTTAGGGCTGCCAGGAATCATACCACACTTCCCTAGTGCAATTTAGTCTCTCACTCCTCTGAACAACACACTTTTTTCCTTTCCTCAACCTTTCACATCCCTTTTCTCCACCGTTACTCTTAGCTGACACTTTCTTCTCAATGAAAAATATAAAAGCAATTAAAAAAAAAAAACATCCACAGATTCTGGCCACTGAATCCACCTACAGCAACTGTACCATGTGCTCCCTGCCTGCCTGCCTACTGCTACCATTATCCGTCAATGCTCGTACATAAAGCCCATCTCTCCTCTTGTGCTATTAGATTCCATCTCCCACTCCCCTGCATCATTAGCTTTCTGCTCTCTACTAGATCCTCTTCAAACATGCCATTATTTTTCCCATGTCAAAACAAAATGAAGAACCTCTTGACTATACTTCTGACAGCAACTCCCTACTCCCCATTTCTTTGCTCCCATTTGCAGCAAAACTCCTTGAAAGAATTGTTTACATTTATTGTTGCTAATTTCTTTTCCTTCATTTCTCTTAAAACAAACCAGTTAGGTTTTTGTCTCACAGCTCTAAACAAAGTGCTCTTGTCAAGGCTAACGAACTCCATGTTGCTCAATCTGACCATCAGTTCTTGGTCTTCACCTTACTTGACCCATGAACATCATGTGACACAAATGACAGCTCTGTCATCTTTGATATACATACTATCTTCACTGACTTCTAGAGCACCACAGTCCTGGATTTTCCTGTGCCTCAGTGGTTGTGCCTTCTCAGTTTCCGTTGTTGGCTCTCCTTTTCCCCCTGAATGCGTAGTGGTGGAGTGCTCCAGGGCTCAGGCCTCAGTCCTCTACTCTTGCCTCTCCGTCTCAATCCCTTAAGTGAGCTCATCCTGCCTCACAGCTTTAAAAATCTCCTATATGCTGAACTACCCCACATTTGTTTCCAACCCAGACCTCTCCCTTTGAATCCAAGACTCATATATCCACTTGCCAACTTTCTTTCTTCTCTGAAATAACAACTCAACATGTACAAAATTGAACTCCTGGTCTACCTTTTCTTCCAAAGCTGCTCTATCCTTAGTCTTCCCCATCTCAGTTAATGACAACTCCTTTCCTCCACTTGCTCAGGTCAGATATCTGAGTCATGCTCTGCTCTTTTCTTTATCTCACACCCTATATCCAATTCATCAGTGAATCCTGCTGGATCTACTTGCAAAATATATTAAGAGTATGACGATTTCTTATCCCCTCTACTGCTACTACCTCTTACTGGGATCACTGCGATTCGTTCTAACGGTTCTCCCTGCTTCTATCCTTCCTTGTTTTGCTATATGCAAATTTTCTCAACACAGTCATCAAAATGTTCCTTTCAAGACTAAGTCAGATCATGCTAATCCTCCAACCAAACTCCTGCAGTGGTTCCCCATTTCACTCAGAGTAAAAGAGAAACTGTTTGCAGTGGACCATGTGGCCCTTCATAATCTGGACTCTCATAATCGCTCCACCCTCATCACCCACTCTTCTCTCCCTCACTATTTTCCAACCACCCTGGTCTCCCTGGTGGTTCTCCAACAAGTCACAGTGCACTCCTGATTTATAACCTTTGCAATGGCCACTCCCAGGAGCAGGCATGCTTTCCCCAGACTTATCTGCAGCTAACTCCCTCAAAGCCTTCAAGTGTTTGCTCGAATCTCACCTTCTCGCTGAAGCCTATCCTCACCATCTTATTTAAAACTGCAATCTGCCCGCCCTTTACACTCCTGGCCTCCTTGCCCTGCAACACTTTCCTCTTCTCCCTTCTGCACTTTTCACTTTCTAACATACCATGCAAGTTACTTACCATATGGTTTATTGTGTCTCACTACAAAAATATGAACTCTTCAAGGGCAAAGATCTTTGTCTATTTTGTCCACTAATGGACCTCAAGCACCTAGAATGGTACCTGGACACAACAGGCATCTGGTAAATATTTGCTGAATGAATGATTCCCTCATGGAGTTCTCCATCCCCCTTCTATCATCATATCAGTGATGTTTAATGGAATTATGAGTCAAATATGTAATTTTAAATTTCCTAAGCAGGCACATTAACAGAAATATTTTACATGTTTTATGTAAAATGAATCTTAATAATTTTTGTTATATATTAAAACATTTAATAATACATTTAGTAATTTTTATTTAACAATAAAGTTATATTTAATGGGAAAATATTGACACTGCTTCAGGTTTTAATTGAAATTAAATTAGAAATTCCATTCCTCAGTTTCACTAGCAACATCACAAGTGCTTAGCAGCCATCTGTGGCTAATGGCTACCATATTGCACAGTACAAATACAGACTGCCTGTTTCCAGGTCTGTTGCACAACTGTCATATTCCTTCATCTCTCGCCTAAATTAGATTCTCTTCTTTCTTAGTATATCTTCCAGTATATCCTTCAATAGCCCCCTTTGAAAGGGTAAGTAGTAAGTAAATTTTTCACTACCTGTGTAGCAGACATTGTTACATATTGAAGGAGCCTCGATTTCCCTTATTTCTTCTTAGCAAAATCTGATTGTGTTCTGGCAGCAATGTGCCCAGCCTTAGGGATAACTTCACGATGTGTTATGACATCTCAAAAACCCCACCACACCCCTTTACTTAGTGGCCATCATATGACCTAGTTTTGGCCAACAAAAGGAAGGCCGCTGGGGAAAGCTTTGGTAAAGATCTTCCCTGCCACCTCCTAGTCTCCTGGTAGAGTCAGGCTGCCTAGGTCTGTTCAACCATCACCACCATCATTCTGCTTCCCAGATTTCAATTTTTGCTGGCATCTCTTTCGTTACCATTTCTTCACATCCTTTGAACAAGAATTTGAGGACCTATTATGTTCCAGAAGCCATCCTAGCTGCCAAAGATACAGAAATTCTTGTTCTTATTATCTCTGTGAATTTAAATTTTTAAAAAAATTTCTTTGTAGTAATTTTAATGGAATTTCAGGAGGGAACAAAACCTCTATAAAGGACATTATTAAATAAATTGACAAAACTGGAATATGGAAAGTATACTATACTAATGCAATCATACTGTGGTTACAAAAGATAATATCCTTATTCTTAGGAAATACACACTAAAGTATTTAAGAGTAAGAGGCCCTAACATATGTAACTTACCATCAAATGGTTGAGAAAAAATAGAACATGCAATGCATGCATGCACATGATAAAGTAAATGAAATAAAATCTTAAAAACAGACTAATCTGGGTAAATAGAATACAAGTATTCCTTGTACTACTTTTATTTGGGGGACTTTCTGTTAAGTTTGAAATTATTTCAAAATAAAAAGTTAAAAAGTATGATATCATACTTTAGCCACTGGATTAGATTCGATTAAATGGTTACTGGATTCCTTCAGCTATCTAATGGTGAGAACCACAAGATTAAGATAAATTGTTTTATGATGCAGCACTTTAAAATGGAATAGGTAATAATTAGTTAACTGTTATAGTTTTTGATTAAAAAATAGGAAAAAGATTGTTTGAGAGAAAAAGTTTGCTTTGTTCTCTGGATTATTTAAATCAGAGCTTCCTCACTACTGACATTGGGGCTGGATAATCGCTGTGAGCGTGCCATCTTGCGCACGAGTGCTCAGCAGCGTCCCTGGTCCCTGCCTTTCAGATGCCAGGAGCGCCCACCCAGAGCTGACAATCAAAAATGTCTCCAGATATTGTTAAATGTATCCCGAGGGGCAAGATCACCCCTGGTTGAGAAGTTGGTTGATATAAATCCAACAAGCAGAAGCTTTGCTCAGAACTACAAACCACAGACCAGTGGTTCTCAAATGTTAGCACATACTGGAATCACCTGGAGGGCTTGCTAAACTAAGTAGGTCCCCATTCCAGAGCTTCTGATGCAGCAGGTGGGGGTGAGGGGAGGAAGGGTCTGACAATTGTCATTTCTAACAAGGTACTAGTGGTTTGGGGACCACGCTTTGAAAATCACTGGGCTAGACATTCACCTGGAGACAAATGACCCCAACTACAGGTACTAAAATTAAAAAAAAAAAAAAAAGTCTTATATAAGACCTGCAAATCCAGATTTATAGAATGATGGCAAACATTACACAAATTAAGAGGGTTATAAAAGGTTTCAGAGAACATCTAGCTCTATTTTTAGATGTGTGCTTCCTTAAGATCACACTGGTGATCTGTGTTAGAGCTAAAGTAGGAACAGTGGGAAGAAAAGAGGGGACTACTGGTAAGGTAACCTGGCCTGTAGCTGGGAAGTGACATTTGAGGTGTGCTGAGACGTTGGCTAAATCATGTCACTTCTATGAATTTAATTTCCTAATTGGGAATAAAAGGGTTTGGATTAGGATCTCATACACTACTTCCAGCTTTAAAAATTGTTGTTATACTACTTTCAGTGGCAAGTAAATGGTAGTCTTTTTTAAAAATTCTTTAAGTTTTACATAAATATTTACATACTCATTTTTGAATATATGGTAAATTTTTAAAAATCAATAGTTCTAAGATTAGTCCTTCTATCAGTTCTGCCCTTTTTCCACCACCATTTGCTAAAAAAAAAAAAAAAAAAGGAAAAAGTATTAAAATACTGAAAACAGCTGCAACTAAAGTCACTCTTAGAGTCTATGAGAAAGTTGTAATTTGGAAATGTGCTTCTGAAATATTTAAGATTTACAAGCTTATTTTTTAACTCTTCTTAATAAAATGCTTTAACAATAGAATCATAAAATTCATAATACCTGTATTATGAATTAACTGAATCAAGACACCATAATTTAACTGAATCAAGACACCAAGAAATATTATAATGTATAATAAAAATTAAGAAAAAAATTAAGAGCTTACACAATTTATTTAAATTAGATGAACTGTAAAATGCATTTCCTTACCTTAACATTTCTAGTGGATTTGTCTCATGAACCTGGTTGCCACACCTTGGACAATCATTACTATCTTCAAAGTGCTGGACAATACAAGTCTTACAGACTAATTAAGAAAGAAGATGTTAGGTTAAAATGCATCACATGAACTTGTCACTTAAATATAAATTAAATGTAATTTAAAATTATCTAGTACAGGTAGAATATTATTTAATCAAACTTCAAAAAACCTTAAAATTGTTAACACTGGAATATAACCCAACTGAAATAAAAGCCTACTGCCACAAATAAAAAGAATATACTATTTTGCTTGTTGCTTTTCTTAGATATGTTTGCAAACCAAATAATACTCTATTCATATTACTCTAAAAAAGCTGGTGCATTTACATAAAATAGGTTTTTCTAATTTAAAGAAGTAAAATGGAGAAAGGTAAAAACTCCAAAAGGTAAGTCTGCATTTACTTCTTTTGCTACAAATTTATATGAATGCACGTAAGCAGTTCTTAATAAAATTTGAGAGTTTTTAACATGTTTGGATTACTTTTATTGCCAGGTGCTCCTGGGACAAACTGGGAGTTACAGTGGCATTATTGGCCTTTACAGAGTATAATGAGTTTGTGCTCACAGGTACCATAATTCCATGGAGCACAAGGTATGAGTATTGGTATCAAGTGGGTACAAAGACATGAGACATAAAATGGAAGAACAATTGAGAAACTGACAGAGATAATTAAAATGTTAAATAAAGATTCTAAACAAAGATAATGAAAATATGATTTGTGGATTTTTGGCCACAAGCCTATATAGCCCACATTTCCACCAAATAATATAATACTAATTAATCTCTCTGGCTATGTCTCTCTCTCATCCACCAAATAATACTAATTAATGTCTCTGGCTATGTCTCTCTCTCATCTTCTAAACTTCTATTTACCTATTATGCCAACTATCTAGCCCCAAAACCATATTTACAGCACCTGAACTATAAAATTTCAATTCAATTTCCTATCCCAATACTCCTCCTTCATTTTATTACTCTGTATAATCTGAAATTTTAATGTGGTATAGACTAGATCCCCCACGTCCCTCTTACAACTGCATTCCAAGCTACTTTATTCTCCTCCCTCCTCATGATCCACACTATCTAAAAGAAGTAAAAGTTTATCTAAATAACTGGTCAAGAGTAAACACTAGGATTTCTACAACTGAGATTAGGTCTGAAAATTCAAACATATATAATGGCCCAATACAACAATAATCAGGGAAGAACTCTACCAGGTATCAAATTTTAAAGTCATTTAGTACATACAGAAAATAACATGTTAGCATTTCCTTTCACTTTATTTATTCATTGATTCAATAGGCATGTATTGACTGCTAGGCATTATACTAAGCGTTGGGGGCACAAGGGTCAACAAAACAAAGTCCACATTCCTATGGAGCTTACATTCTATTTAGGAAGGCAAACAAATAATTTTAGTCAGTGATTAGTGAGATTTTTAGTCCCTAAAACCCTAAGTAAGGTAGAGACAGAGTGCTGGAGGCCAGCAGCTATTTTAGATAGAGTGATCAGGGAAGACTCCCTAAGAAGGTAACATCAGAGCAGCTTTTTGTTGGATGAATGCACCTGAATCCCATACTCTCTACTCTTGTTACCACTACACACAGCTACCAGGATACATGGCCTTCACTACAATTCTCCCAAAATTTGGGTAAAGACAGTTATCAGAAAACTTTAAAAAAGCTTAGATATAAAAAGTTAGCCTAGGGTTATCATATAGAGTTGAATACTTCCCCTGACCCTCAAATTTCTTGTCCCCAAAAGGGTTTCTAAATAAATGTCTTTTCAAAAGTAAAAGTAATCTTTGGGAAGAGAGAGGGCTGCCTTGTTCAGCGAGTTGAAGAGGAGGACAGAGAAGCTGAATTCCTTTAGAAGAATGCTGGTATTTGCTCTTTTCCCCAGATAAGTTTCTGAAATTTGGGAAAGAGGCAAAAAAGGACAGATAAGAAATAAGTTCAGGCCGGGCGCGGTGGCTCACGCCTGTAATCCTAGCTCTCTGGGAGGCGGGCGGATTGCTCGAGGTCAGGAGTTCGAAACCAGCCTGAGCAAGAGCAAGACCCAGTCTCTACTATAAATAGAAAGAAATTAATTGGCCAACTAACATATATACAAAAAATTAGCCAGGCATGGTGGCGAATGCCTGTAGTCCAGCTACTTGGAGGCTGAGGCAGGGAGGATTGCTTGAGCCAGGAGTTTGAGGGTTGCTGTGAGCTAGGCTGACGCCATGGCTACTCACTCTAGCCTGGGCACACAAAGCCGAGACTGCTGTCTCAAAAAAAAAAAAAAATAAAAAAAGATAAGAATTCAAGTTTATCAACTCAATGTTGCAGTAATGCCCTGGCTGTCTACCAGCTTGACCAACAGAGAGGTAGCTGACATCCCAGAGCAATGTCTCACCTGGGTCACCAAAGGCTAAGGTAGGATCCTATGCTCCCCGTGAAAGACACTTATCTAGATTGCTGATGAAAGAGATGTAGGCTCAAGCATCCAAAGGTGCACATAGTTTTAGAGATAAGGCTATGTTATTGCTTAAGGCCAAGCGACACAGTACGCAAGAACACTGATAGGGAATAGTAATCTATATTAACTGGACTGTCCACACAAGTACCACCGAGCACCTGTGGCTATGAGCCACTTGAATCTGGCAGTTTAAGTGAGATGTGCTGTATAAAAAACACTAGATTTAGACTTAATATGAAACAATGTCATTTTATATATTTACTTACATGGTACAGATTTATACATTACATTTGGTTAAATATATTATAAAATTAATTTCACTTGTTTCTTTTTTAATATGACTACTAGAGAACTGTAAATTCACATCGTGGCTACATTTATTACTCGAGGAGTGCTGTTCTAGAGAGACACGAAACTCTCATCGAAGAGGAGAATTTTATTTTTTCACACCAATATTGAGATATTGTCATCTGATTCCAATTCTGCAGATGAAAAGAGGTTCAACAGGCCAGAGCACTTGTCTATGCTGGTGAATGGCAGCACCAAGACTTAAATTCAGTTTTCTGATATGAATTTTCAAAAACCTTTTCAGAAGATAAGACCAAAACCGTTTTCATTAATTTTAGATAGTTTTGGAAAAGAATTTAAGATGTTTGAACATATACAATTCTAGTTCTTTTTTGTTCAATATTTGGTGTAGTTGCATCGTCGCATCATCAAACATTTAAGATTACGTACCAGGCATGTGTCCTAATATATTCAACATATATGTAGATATCTGTCCTACTAATCAGGTTTGATTCACCAATAATTTAATCTACTCTATCAATCAGGTAGCAATATTAGGCCCTCTTTACAGATGAAGAAAATGAGTAGAGCAATCCAGAGTTGCCTAAAATCATGAAGCCAGTAAATGGTTAAAGCCAAGATTTGAATCCCATTTTCTTAACCAATGATGTCTATGAGAACATTATATAATCAAAATATATAATATAGATCTACAATATATACGAAAATGTTTACCCCGTTAATATTGGGAGCCTTAAATATTAATTTCTGCATGTAGAATTAGATCTCTTTTAAATGTATATTTGTATAATAAGCCCTTTTAAATTGGCTTTATTTGTTCTTTAAAAAACTCCTAGAAATACATCTCCCATATGCTTTTTAAACACATTAAATACACAATCTTATATCAATTAGAAATGAGGAATCCAGGCCAGAACTCAATAAAACTGAAAAGTAAAATGAGAATTTGTTTCCTTAAAAACACTCTCATGACTACAAAACTAATTTGATTCTTAGTTTATAATTTTGAAGTCTATACTAGTGCGCATAAGTTTATCCATACTAAAGCACATTTAAAAATATCTTAAAGATTTAATACCAAACTCTATAGCCTTCTTATTGCTTGTACTTGGTTTAAACTTAATGGTCCAAGATGATGTGTTAGTCTGGGTTCACGCTAAAACTATGTTTGGAGACCACTAGAGTCTTCACTCTCATAAGCCAACTCTACAGACAATGAAACACCTGGAACAGAAAGGGAGACAGGACTCACAAGATAATCTCAGTTGGAAAACTTAATAGAAACAAGTGCTAATTTACTGAGCACTATCAGATATTAGGCTCTTGGGCTCAGGACTTTGTATGGATAATCAGTATGGACTGTTACTACCTTTGGCAATGAGGAAGGCAGAGGTGGAAAGCTGAAGGCTGCCACAGCTGCCCACTATATACAATAGAGAGTTATCACCTCTGGGCAGGGCAGTTCAAGGCCTAACATCAAATCCCACTAGAAATCACGCATCTCAGAATGAGTAGATTCCCAAGCCTGGCAATCAAGATTCCTACCTTGATTGATCTTTATATTTAGCTCATCACAAACATCATTAAACTTTTATGAGTTTACTATTTTACATTTCTTAGATTTGATAGGTTGTCACAATTAATAGAGAAAGTCATTGTGTCATCTAAAGCAGTGGTTCTCAAATTTAAATGGATGTCACAATAACCAGTGAGATTCTTTAAAGAATATTCGCAGGCTCCATCCTACACGGAGGAGTCAAGGTATCTGGGAGATAGCACCCGACTCTACTCTGCAAAGCCTCTCTCACTGACACAGCCAAAGACTGACTGGGAAAATGGGCACGGAAGCAGGAGCGGTACAAAACTTATTGCTAGTAACTCTGTCAGTGCCCCATTCCAGATTGCTCTCTGCTTAACCATCACCAAAGATCACTTATTGCCACCGTAAAATACTGTCATAGGAACAAAAACACTCAAAAATAGTGACTATATATCCCTATAATCAGATCTACATGAGACACCAAGGTAGCAAGCAGCTGTTCCAGATAATCTCGAGGCAGAACTGCTGGATCTGAATCCAGTTTGCCGCTAGCAAACTACTTTGTACAAGGGAGATATATAAAGGTACCTATCTCACAGGATTCTGTGAGGACTAAATGCGATAATATATGTAAATTCCGGTTTACAGTGTCTGAGTAACTTGTACATATAAAATATCGACGCACTACTATAATTAGCTCACTGGGATAGCATGAAATCATAACAACGGGAATCAG